CAGGCAGATGACAAAGATAGAGAAGAAAGGGCTGGGCCACCTGAGTTAATTTCTTCTGCCTTGAGAAGTTGGGAGGGGGAAGAGAAAAGGACTAAAGTTACCTTCTCAGACTTTTCCTTCCAGAGGTTTTCTATGCTGCGGGTCAGTCAATGCTGCAACATGGGGTGAGGAAGTAGTATAGTGATGTGAAATTTAGATTTACTCTTCAAAAAGTAATAATAATGAGCATCAGTTATAGAGAAGGAATACGTGTGCCAGAAATACAAGGTTTCATCTTTTCAAAAGAAGTAAATACAGACACTGAGGTCCTTGTATACAAGTTGGTCTTCTTTTTCTATCTCTAGTCCAAACCCGATGGAGCAGCTCTACTCTGTCCTATAGGGTCGCTATGAGTCGGAATCCACTTGACAACAGGTTTGGGTTTTTGGTTTGGACTTAAGGCGACCCCACAATGGAAAAAAATGCTGCCTGGTCCTGCACCATCCTCATGATTGGTTGGGGATCAGACCATTGTGATCCATAGGGTTTCCACTGACTGATTTCCAGAGGTCGATGGCCAGGCCATTCTTTCTACTCTGTCCTAGTCTGGAAGCTCTTCTGAAACCTGTTCAGAATCATAGCAATATGCAAGGCTCCACTGACAAATGAGTGGTGGCTGCACATGAGGTAGGAATCCAACTGGATTGAACCTAGTGTCCCGCATGGAAGGCGAGAATTCTACCACTGGACCATCACTACCCCAAAGCCATAGGTTATAAGTTATATCCTTTTAAAATGAGTGAGAAACCCAGATATACGTGTGTTATTAATACAAGGCCAGTATATAAGATAGTGGAGAGGATGAGCTGTTGTATCAAATTCAAACAAAAATACAGTGGCTCAACTAAGATAAAAGTTTATGTCTCTGCCATGTAGTAGTCCAGATGTACGTTGGCAGTCTAGGATAAGGGGTGGCTCTGTCCGAGGTCCTAGGTTTCTTCTAGATACTTCACCATTTCTGGGTTTGTGTTTCTGTCCAGGCTGTCAAACCTCACACCGGTATTTTCCAGCTCACAGGAAGGACGAAAGAGAGAAGTGGTAGGCAAGCAACTTCCTTTGAAGAATGTGACCAGAAAGTTGGACATACCACTTCTCCTACATCTCACTGGTCATAACTGAGTCACATGGCCATACCTAGCTACAATGGAAGAGGGGAATTATATTCTCTACCTTAGAACCCAAGTGCTTGCTTTTCCAGTTGTGGTGGGGTGGTATTCTATTACTAAAGGAAGAAAGGAGGGGTAAGAATTGGGGATAATTAGAGGCATACTAAGATAGTTTCAAAGATTTTTGATAACTAATCTCATAAAAGTTCACATTTCCTGTATTAAAATAAAATGTATATTTTATCATTTCATGAAGTTCTAGTCATTACACTTACTTCTAGCTTGGTTGATCTGTATATGAAGATAAGTTTAATTTTTAAATTAACTTGATTATGAGTTTATTTTACTTTAGCCTGTGAAAATACAGTCTTATATATTTTTCTACTTATACACACTACAGATTTTACTGTCAATTTGTACAGTTACCATGAGGCATTCCTTTTCCTATCTTTACTTTTATCCATTCTAAAACTTGCATTTACTTTTTAATAGCTTTCATTTTTGTCATCTAATATTGATTTGACTGTATCATGGCAAAGGGTAAGCAAACATTTCAAAGTCTTTCAAAACAAAACCTCCATGATGGTTTGGAACTCAGGTCAATATAAATATAAGTACCTTTGGATCATCCCTGATCTGATGGCCCCAGAAACCAGGGTTGGCTCTAAGCCACTCTTGGTCTTCTTTACTGTGTAACTGTAACTGATACATCTTAATATCCAGCTTGAAATCTTGCACAGTTACCTTCACATTAAAAAAACAAAACAAAAAAAACCAAACCCATTGCTGTTGAGTCGATTCCAACTCATAGTGACCCTGTAGAACAGAGTAGAACTGCTTCATAGGATTTCCAAGGAGTGGCTGGTGGGTTCAAACTACCAACCTTTTGGTTAGCAGTTGAACGCTTAAGCACTGCGCCACCAGGGCTACTACCTTCACATGGTAGATGCTTAATAAATACTAGCTGAATAGTTGAATTGGGCCACATAGCATCCATCAGAAATTGTAGGTCCTCTGAACCAAAGGTCACTGAATCGGTGTTGCACACCTTTCCCAGACTGAAATATTAGTTTGTTTTATAATGTGAATAATAGCCCATAAAACATATACAAATAATGTAGGAGTAAATATATAAAAGGAAATTTTATACATTGTAATAAAAGTTTTCTCTTCCCTTTAAATGGCGTAAAAAATAAGAAGCAACTAATGCAATGCCTGGCATAATAGCTTCTCAGTAAATAGTAGTCACACTTAATTACTGCTTATGTTGTTCTGTAGGTCACAGGACAAAGAAGAAATAAGGTTTCCACCAATATATTGCAAAACAACCCATAGCTTTCTGGCACTCATTATTTTAATAGGGAAGTTATTAATTTTCACAATGTAGAAATGAGAGAAGAGTTTGGGAATGCAAGAATAATTTGATTAAGAAATAGCATCTTTACACAAATTTAGCATATAAAAAGATCCAATAATTATGGAACTTCATTTAAAGTTTTACTTATGAAATACATCAGGAAACTCAGCAAGGTTCACAGAACCCTAGAGCTGGGTGGATACGGTTCAGAAGACCTTGATGGAGAATAATTGTTATTCAACTGTTTCTCTGGCATATGTTCAGAAGTAATGTATTGGGATATTCTGGAATTCCCTACAGGACACCAGAATGTTATAGAAGCGGCATATGGTAATTGCCCCTGATTGATTGATATAAAAATTTCTTTCCCTAATTATTTGTCAATGGTGTTCTGTTTTTTGTCTTTCAGAAAATAATTCTGATCTTCGTTTTTTTATTTGGTCCACTTGTGATTGGTAAGTCATTTGGCATTAAACTCACGTATTCTTAGTATTCCTTCTTTCTTTGCTTCCCAAACTTTATTCAGACTGCAGTTAATTTTAGTAATTTCCTTAAATGGTATGACACAAGTCTTTTGGCACATCAAGACCATAACCATTTAGCTTTACGATTTCTTAACTTTAATAGAATTTACTTGTTTTAAATTATTTTTCTATGTTACCTAAAATTGTCTGAGGTTTTCCGAAAAGGATATTGGATGCAAATGTTAGAAGTTCAGCATGCCTTTTATATACTAGAAAACTCTATCGATAGGAAAGTTGTTAATTACATTTTCATTTTTTGACATCTAATAATCAAGGAGTTACTTTCTTTTAAAATTAGTCTCTTCTATCGATCTCCAACAACATAAATCTAAAGGCACATCTGTTATGAGGTAGTATGATATACCATGCAGTAGAGGCAATATTTTTAAGTTTTGAAATTCAGATGAAGTTTCTAAAATATATTTTAAATGAGAGTTAAAATTTTATGTCAGTTTTCCCATAAGAATGGAAGAATGCTGGCATAACTTTAGTTCATTTACCTAGAGTGAGTGAGAATGGTCAATACTGCTTCTCTAAAACCCTCAGCTCACAAAAACGCTAATATTGAATAACTTTGAGTTTAGGTATGCTGGAGTTAGTTATGTTACTTTTTGTAATAGTTTGTATTACTGTATGCATTGTAGTTTTTCCCAAATAAAATAAACCAGTAATTCTGCCCTAAGTCCTTTAATTTTCTGGGAAAGTATTAAAATGGATATTATCTTGGTGAAAATTTTGTTAGGCTATTGGCAGACGACAAGGTTGCAATAGTAGCATAAATGAGAAGTAAACCAAGGTGAGTTTAATCCTACTTCAATTAATGGGTACAGAAATAAGCAATGAATTAGGATTTTATTTAAGCCGCGTTCTTTCTCTACAAAATATTTGTAGACAATAGTTGGACTAGAAAAGGCATGCATGTTCTCATCTGCATCTGACCCTCCTCCCCAGCAAAATATAGTTTACCCCAACATTTTAGTGGTTTCCCTTTAAGCAGGCTGTTTATCAAAATAAATATTTGCCACATACCTAGTTTGTATTTTCAAACCGCACAGTGAAGTATGATTCAAATAATAAGAATTAAAGGAATTTGAAACGGCTTTTCTTAATGTTTTGGAAGCGCTTTTGAAAATGTAAAGGCGGAGTTAATTTTGTCCATGTGGAGTGGTATGAAACTCCAGCTTCTCTTTATTTTCCCCGCAAACATTTATTTTCTAAGGTTTACTAATTATAGTTGTTAATTTTTCTTTCGAAATTCACTTGTAGCAGAAGGCTCTGTTAGATTGTCTCCAGGAGTCAACAGCAAGCAGACCCCTGCTTGGCTGGAGTGGGGAGAGGGGAAGGCTGGGGCTGGGGCTGGCTGCTGGCGGGCAGGGAGCCTGAGAGGGCCGGGAGCAGAGAGACTGCAGTGACACTGCCCTCCCCGGGCTGGTGGAGGCATCTCACTGGTGACGGGTCTGAAAGCACGTGGCTACGTCACGGAAAGCCAGTCTTTTCAATGCAAACTTCAACTCCTCCTCCTCCTCCCTCTAATGCCTGTAACTCCCATCCGAGGCTGGGCGAGAGATCCGGAGGGGAGCTTTTCCTCATGCTCACGCTTGGTGGAAACTGGCGGAGTGAGAGGAAGGAGGAGGGGGCTCTGGGGCGCTCTCTACCTACTACACGCCTGACGAGGGGAGGGGGCTCCGAGATTGCATCTTTTCTTCGTGGTGATTGAGAACTGCAGGTTCAATCCCATCCTACTCATCACTGGCGATTGATAATTAAAAAAAAGAAAAAGAAAAATCGACCCTTGGAGAAGGGAGGCTCTGTCTTCGGCTGTCAGACTCAACCTCGGAGGTGGTATCGGTGTGTGAGTGTGTGTGGTGGGTTTTTTTCCCCCTTTTTTCTTTCTTTTTTCGTTCTTCCTTCCTTTCTTTTTTCTTTTCTTTTTCTTTCTTTCTCCCTTTTTTCTTTTTCCTTCTCTCCTAGGGACTACACAATGACAGTCTTCTCTCAGTAAGATGAAACCTGCTTTGGCTTCTGCAGATCCACCCATCCTCATAACGACCAAGTAGAAGGCTATGGTTTTCTCTTTGGGGATCTTTTGTGCATTACTGTTCTCCCTGATTCGTTTTGGCCTCAGTTGGGATTTCTGTGCTTTTTTGTTTGGCTACATGCTGAAAAAGGATTTTTTTTCCAACCCTTCGGTAATAATCCAGTGGTGATCAAGGGGGATAAATCATTCACCCTGGCCGAAAAAAAACAATCACTGAGAAGTCTCAAAGAAATATACCACGTGAGGGGGAAAAACTGGGAGAAGATCCGGAATATTATCGTTTTTCCTATGGTAAAACCGGCGCCCCTCTTCAGGAGAACTGATTTCAAATTATTATTATGCAACCACAAGGATCTCTTCTTTCTCAGGGTGTCTAAGCTGCTGGATTGCTTTTCGCCCAAATCAATGTGGTTTCTTTGGAACATTTTCAGCAAAGGAACGCATATGCTGCAGTGTCTTTGTGGCAAGAGTCTTAAGAAAAACAAGAACCCAACTGGTAAGCAAAACATGCATCATGTTATGTTTTTCCTCATACTAACCTGTCTGTTGCTCACTGAGCTAGATCTGCAGTTCTGCTATGCAGGAAGGCAGGGGAAACAGAAATGGAACCAGGACAGTGTTGCATATAGAGGTGTTGCATGAATAATCAAGTAACAGCTGGATCCGCGTCTGTGAACCTGAAAACCATTATCAGCATCTCTTGGCTGTGACACAATCCATCACTAGGAGGGAGGAGGAAACTTTTTTTTTTTTTTTTTAATGTATTTGGTTGCCTAAGTTTGGTGGAATATTCAAGGGCTATGGCTTAAGATTTCTGCCCGAGACAGCTGAAGCTTTGGTAGTTGCCAGGAGGAAGAACGGGAGTTTTCCTGACTTCTGCTGCAGGTTCGGAGACATAGCTCTGTGCCGAGAACGTGCTCTAGACTTTCTGATTAGCGTGCACAATGTTCGCCACCCCATCACCTTTCCCAAAGTAAAAGAGGCCCCCTCCCTCGTGTCCCCGCTCCTCCGTCAGCCCCCGCCTCCCTCCCCCGTCTAGCTCTCTGTGCCCAAGTATTAACTCCTTCCCTGGGTCTGCCTCTGACACGTCCTGCTACTGGGAATACTGGAGCAGGGTTTGTGCCCGGAGGGAAACCCAGACCGAGCAGACAAGACCAGCCCCTCTAATACATGTAGTTTAAATTCTTCTTTTAAAAAGTATCAAAACCGTGCGTCCGAGTCCCACGGGTGGGATGAACCGGGCCTGTGAGTCCCTGCTTTAGGGTGCGGGTGATCATGCGCCCCAATTCCTAAGGGCTCCAACGGGGAAACTTGCAGTACATTACATAAGAAATGCAAATGCAGGTGATTCGGGGAGTCGGATTCCCTGGGCTCACTTTCCTATATCGCAGTCTGAAGCGTTTTGGGGCGGCCGCGTAGCGGTGGGAGAGCTACCCCGGGGAGGGAAGGCTGGAAGACTGCATGGTGGCGGCGCCGGCGAGGAGGCTGGGCGCAGCTTTTCCCAGAACCGGCACACACTGGCAGCGGGTGGTGTGTGGCGCCCCCCGGCTGCGTCCAGGATGGGGAGGGACCGGGGCCGAGTGTTTGTGTTCGGGGCTCTACTGGGGGGAGGGGACGGTAGAGCGGCGGTCCTGCAGTGGCAGCCCGGGCGCTGGAGGCTCCTGACGCTGGCACTGCGGTGTAGTAGATCATAGCTCTGCGCTGGCTCCCTGACACTCGGAGCCCAGCCGGGGCCGCGCTGGCACCCGGAGCCCCAGCGACTGGGCAGCAAGTGGCTGCTGCCGCCCATCCTCCGAATCTCCCAAACGCAGCGTCGCTCGGTGGTGCGCTCGGTGGGGCTGCCGCCTTCGGGTGCCGCGAGCGGGAGGGAGAGGAGGTGTAGGTGAGCGGGCAAGCAGGCGGCGGCGGGAAGACTGAGCACCCTTTGCGGCCACCACTTCTGCAGCGAAAGGGAAGCCGCGAGTGGTCCGACCGTCCGAAAGGAGCGAAGCTCGCGTGCTCGGGCGGAGGACGCCTGGCCGCGGCCTTGGCAACAGCCGGGAGCTGGGAGGTTGGGCGGGCCCGTGGGGCTTCTGGAAGTAGCCTCCGGCTGTCCGCCGGCTCGGCTGCAGTGGGCTCTTTGGCGCCTGCCCTGGAATTCTCGTTCATGTTCTAGCTTTCCTCACCACCGTCTTTCTTACCCTCCTTCTGTTCCCTCCTCCTTCTCAGCACCCTGTCCTTTTACCCTTCTCTCTTAACTGTCAGCTTTTAGCAACTCTGAAATGACACCATCATCCTAAGAATTACCCAAGGAGAAAGCAACGTTACCACCTTACCATTCACACTTCTGATTTAGCTGTAAGGTGTACCCCAACGCCCGGCATCAAACGTAACGCTTGCTGATAACGTTGGTCATAAAAACCCGCTGTGCATCTCTAACACTATCTTACAACTTAATGCGAAACCCCTTTTTGCAAGATTTCCTAAAGTGGGACTCCCTTGCAAGGGAGGGGTTACTCCTTCACAGGACAGAAATATTGGTTTTTGAAGTCTTCTTGAGGCTCTCTGTGAAGAGACAAAGCTCGTTCTGAGAAAGAAATGCTGTAAAAACACTTTTTTTTTAGACTCGGCCATTTGTCTAGGGACCTTAAAGTCAGTCCTTGCATAGTCCTGGAGAGTGGGAAATAATTCAGCGCACAGCAGGAAGTTTCTTTGCTGTTCTTTGTTTTTTTTTTTTTTTTTTTTGTAAACACTTTTGCTGGAAACATTCATCTCCCCCTACACACAATTCAAGATCTTTTTATTACACTTCCCCCACCCCACCCACTTTCATCTCTCTGGAAAAAAGCAGATTTCCTTTTTCTTCCAAGGCGTTTTGGAAGGTGTCAAACAAATGACAAATTATTCTTAGAGCAATTTATTTTGCAGCTTATGGATGCTAAAGTACTTGGGTGTGAACTGACGGATTAATTCGAAGTGTGTCTGACATCACCAACTCTTTCTAATAGGATGGTTTAGTCTTAGATTGCCAGAGATTAGAATTCCAACCTGAGAGCTGGGGCATTTAGTAACGATTTCTTCAATGGGACATTAATGTGTCATGCTATTTATTTCACCTTCTAAACGTTTTTGCCTCTCAAGCTTGACTCGAACCCAGGCCTGGCCATCCCCTTTCAGCACTGTACTTGGTGAAATCCATTCCCCTTCTGCTATTAAAACGAAACCTAGAATTTGTTTGCAGGTTTTTGATCCCAAGACAGCAGTACAACTAAGATGTTAATTGGGTAATTAAAATACAACCAAGGCTAAATTCCTCTTAACTGTTGAAACCAAAAAGAACAGATTGACTAGGACCTGTTACGCTATCTTAAATCTAAAAAGAGGACAATTAACTGGTCTCAAAGTGTGAGAGTTGGTAGAATACTGCCAAGTATCAGTACTGTGATCATGAATTTGATGTAAAACATCTTACTGTTTCAGAGATAAATATTAATTTTTCTTCCTGATCTTTGAAAGTTATGGGATAACTTACTGGTTAACCCAAATTCTTAAAGTTACTGATTAGTATGGGTTGTTAGAACAAGGGTTCCTGGGAGGAACTTCTGAGCACTGCTATATAACCATGTTGATATGAAAATAATCAGATAATAGAGTTGTGAATTTAAGGGCAAAATTCTTCACCCATCCAAAAGTTAATAATTAGCTCTAAACTATTCAAATAGGAGGTGTTAATTTTTTTTGTAGTTGTTTTTTATGTAGTTTAACTGGAAAAGAACTTGGAGAATGTATTTGCACAATATATACTTTTTAAAGTAAATTGCAATAGCTTAAAAATCACTGGCTATGAAGTAAATTTACTATCTTCATAAAAACTTCTGATATCTCAGTTACAGTTATTACCAGAGAATACACACACACACGCGCGCGCGCGCGCATACACACACACACACACACACCCCATATTTAAATGTCCTACTTTCCCCTACTTTGCAAGCTGAGCAGTAGCTATGCATTTAGAATAAATGTTACCTGCTTTAAATTTCACTGTGTGAGTCATGCAAGGTGACTGTATTTTAGGCAAATCATTAAATAGGGAATACCAAGTCAAGGCATTTATTTTGCCTGGAGGAGGGCTTGCTATGTTTTTTAAAACCAGTAATGATAGTTTGGACTGACCACTGTATAACAGCTCAGTTTGAGAAATAATCTAGGTCACTGAACTTTGAGCAAAGAGTGTTAAGGAAAGAAACGTGGTTGAGAAAAGTTCACAATAAAGATAAACACTAAGGTCACGCCATTAATCTCTCTTCAGATACATAATGTAAAATAAGCAAAGGAAGCCACAGACTCTCAAATATATACATCGACTTCACCATACATGATACCTCCAAACTCCAGGGTTTGATAAGATTTTGAAAAGCATGGGTTTTAATACAAGTTGTAATCTAAGAGAATTTTATTGAGTAATGGTGTCAGTGGCAAGGAGCGTAAGAAGCAGATGCCCTAGACCTAGTTCTGAAGAGCACATTTAGAAAATCCCACAAACTCGTTGACTTCAGTGTTTCATTTTCTGAACTTAGTCTCCCTCTCTGCCATGTAACTTTGAGATGGAACAAGCAGGGATTGCTAGGGCCCGTTGTCACTTTCTATAGCCTACTTGTTTTGGTGCCTTTCAGCTCTAATTTTGCCTTTCACTAAGCTGTTTTATGTGCCCCAAACACCAAGTATGCCACTTTTACTCTTTTAAATATGGTGTTTTTTTTAGCTACTTACTTTATATCAGGCTGTCATGGCGTTTTTTTACACTAGAAAATAGGTAAAGAGGGAAGAAAGAGGAGTAAGCATTTTTTATTCCTTTTCATTCTCAGCCTGCCGACTCATCCTGGTTTCCTGTAGAGCTGGGTGAGCCACAAATGGGCCCCAACCCCTGTATTTCTAAACACTGAGTAACTAAAGACATCAAATTGAGACTCATGGCTGGAGCACAAACAGGTGTAAGGTTCTCCTCTTTCTAACATGCTTGGCTTTAGAGTGGGATTCAATGTAATATGAGTTGGCCTTGGACTCCATCCAGGAAGCTTTAGTTACTGAAGCAGTAAAATGACTTTTTTAGAGTAGTCCCACACCATGAACCACAGGATAGAATTTTAGTTAGGCTTCTAAGTACTTGTTGAGAGAAGAGATTTTTCTTTTTGGAAATTTATATTCAAGTTAACTAGTGTGGGGTTCAATGCACGGTAATCTAAATTTTGTTGTAACAATGAAGATGACTTCGGTTGTACCCATATCCAGCCTGTTCTCATCTTAGACATTAATAATTAAGAATATTCTTTCAAATGATGCACTGCTTTCAGAAAGTGTTAAGAGTAATTCTATACTATACTTCTTATTTTCCACACTGAACCTTTCCTTTAAAAATGTTCTAACCAAGTCTTCCATGTTTCAGCAACACAAACATTGGGAACTTCAGTGAAATGTTTTTATACATATGGTAACAGGGACAACAACCAATGTTTT